ACTTACTTTCAATGGGTTTGCACACCAGCCCTCTCACCGTGTGCCATTGCCCTCCTTGGCAGATGGCGAGGGCGGGCAAGCCGACGAGAGCGAAACCGGGCTGGCAAAAGAATTCCACCAAAGTGCCCAGTTTAAACATGCCAGAGTCCAGGGGCTCCTCACACAACGGAGGCTGGCATTGAGAGATGCCATGAACAGGCATGTCTGGGACGCCGCACCCTGCAAAGCAGAAACAAACACAAAGAGAGGCATTAAAGGGGGCAAGAGGGCTCAGAGAGGCACAGGAAAGTTGGACCAAGGCACACATGGCATGTGCAAACCAGGTCCTTTGGCACCTCTAAGAATTGGGGGGGGGGGGTAATCAATCAACCCTTGATTGATTACTGCATCACAGAGAAAGATTCGTATTTTTTAATCGAGGTGATCTAGTATTAATTAAAACTGGGCGTGCTGTGATAAAAAAAAGTTCGAGTTTAAGGTATAAAGACTTAAAATTTCATATTTGTAATGAGGTAATATTTGGAGTAATCACAATATAGCGGGTGACATTAGATTTATGATTTTTTAGTGATTGAAGTATTCGCTTATGTGCGATAAATAACAGTCTGTCTCCAACAGGGAAGTCATTTTATTTGTTTGTAAGTGTTGTTTAGTTGTTGTATGTTATGTCTATATGTTGGTCTTTTTATTTTTTAATGTTAATAAAAAATTAAAAAAAAAAAGAATTGGGGAGGGGGAAGGGAATGCACACAACAACAACAACAACAACGCACCTAAATTCCCAAAGGCTCCAGAATCCATCTGATCTTGGAAGCTAAGCAGCACTGCTCCTGGTTAGTACTTGGATGGGAGACCACCATGAATACCATAATACTTGGCATTAAGGCCAAGAAAGTCTGAGTGCACAGAGGTGGCCCGGTTTGTATCGGAGGTCTGAGCTGTGATGGAAACAATAAAAATGGAAGCCCTCGTTCTTTCTCAGTTAGAAATTCCCTATTCCCTTTTGTATTCGTAGCCCAAAATGACCGGAAAATGAGAGGGTACATTCCTCTGCGTAAGAAGAGAAAGAAAAGAAACCACGACAAGAAATACCCATTTCGATTGCAGGGAAAGAAAGTGCGCCCAGGAGATGTCACCCCCAAATATCGCACCCCAAGCCACTGGCATCTAAGCTACCTTTTCCATGGAGGAAAACCTTGGCGTCGCACAAAGACGCAAGAACCAGACCCACAAAGAGGCGTTGCAGGAACTGTTGTGATCCATGCAGAAACTCCATCTGGATTATCAGGTCCAGCAAAGGACGAATGATACCTGGAGGAAAAAGGACCAAGGTTAGAGCAAAAGCTTGCGGCAAAGGAGACCCTTTGGATCCCCATTTACACATCGGGAAACATAAACAAACACCTGAACTCATGGCACCTGCATCTATATAAAAATCTCTTTGAGAATTTACTCTGGGGGAATGCAACTCCCATGATCCCCCGACCCGACAGTGGCTACACTGACTGTGGATTGGGGGAGTTATAGTCCTCCCAAGTGACTTTTATCGCTGAAGACCAACCAACCTGACTCTATCTGACTCCATCCCTTGGAGAATAGTGGAGTCTCCTTCTTTGGAGGTTTTTAAAAAGAGCCTGGATGGCCATCTGTCTGGAGTGCTTTGATTGTGAGTTCCTGCATGGCAAAATGGGGTTGGACTGGATGGCCTCATGGGGTCTCTTCCACTCTATGATTCTTCCAGCAGGCTTATCCAGATGATTTTTAAATAGTGGATTTTAGATGTGGATTTTTTTAAAAAAACACATGTGTACATCTTAATTATCCTTATAAATTGATGTTGTGTTGTAATGGATGTTGTTTGTGTGTTAATTGTTGTTGTTCCCCACCTTGATCCATAGGGAGAGGTGGATAAGAAAATAATAATAATAATAATAATAATAATAATAATAATAATAATAATAATGCAAGGAGGTTGCATTTCAAATGCAAGCATCACTGAATCCTTCAGAGATGTTGCCTCAGCACTTTTAATCTAAAAGTGGTCCCCAAAATAACTTATTCCAGAATTTTAAATTAAGCTGACGGTCTTCCATGCAAGGAAGGTTTCCCCTCCATTCTATAGTCCACACTCCTTACTTTAAATAGGGTTCAAATCTCCACTCAGCCCTGGAAACCCACTGGATGACTCTTGGGCAAGTCACACTCTCTCAGCCTCAGAGGAAGGCAATGGTGGGAAAGGTCTTCTGAAGAAATTGGGAGCCTGCATGGTGTAG